GGAGACCGGTCAGAAGCCTTGGAGTTTGGCAATGGTCTGGGGAGCCAGGAAAACTTGCCCAGCCTCTCCAGGCCTCAGCGTCATTACCTAGTAAATGATGATAACATTTATTGCTGTAGAGCTGGAAGATAAAAGTGCATGGTTAATACACACCACTAATTTTTATTAATGCAGTTATTGATTTCCTGGCTTTCCCTGCAGTGACTTCTTCATATAATCATCTACCTCTGTATTCATAACTGAGATGAACATGAAAATTTTCCATCTATTGTTTTTGTTCCTGTTTACAGAGCTTAAGACTCCCATGTTCCTTAAAAGTTTCAGATAACTCCTTTGTAAGATGATATAGACACAGATTTGAGTAGACAACTCTGATAATGTTTTTCACTTCTAAATACGGATGCATTTATTGAAGGCTTGTAACTAAAACTGTAACAACTACTTCCTATACCTCATCTCCTTTCTTCCTTAGAAACAGGTATCACTTATATTCATTTCAGCTAATCCTGAAAATTTGTTATTAGTGTGTACATCTTGCAGACAGAGAATGACCAAGTAGACCGAGCTCAGGCCGCACTGAGCTGCGGCAGGCATGGGGCACGCTCTCCGTAGAAGCCAGATGCTGAGCTGACCCCTAAACTTTCTTGTTATTTTGCTTTGACTTGGGTCTGTCTGAGTCTTCTGTGCTGTGTGGAATTTCATCAGGACATCTTGGTAATCTAACAAAATTCTGATCTCTATTTCTGAGGTTGCATTCACTACTAGTTTGGTGCACATGTGTGTCGTCCTTTTCTTGATTAATCAGAATTGTATATTAAATTTTAGAGGAGAAAAGTCTAGACTGAATGAGATTATGCAATGGAAATATTTTTTTCAAATCGACTCTATGGAAACAGGTGTGTGGGGGGGGGATGAAGCGGAAGAGGGGTGGGAGGCGCGGGCAGGGGTGCGCTTGAGTGCCAAGGTGTTAGACCGCTGGCTGTAGGTGCAGCGAGGTGCTCACGACTCCGAAAACTAATGTAGGATTTTTTTTAAGATTTATTTATTTATTCATACAGAACTGGGGTACAGGCAGAGATGCAGAGGGTGAGAGGATTCACCAGGGACAGAGTGGGGAGCAGAACAGGCAGATCGACAAAGTATACTGCTGAGGGGAGCAGCGGGAGGGTCAGGAGAGGTCTGCCGCGCCATGTGGATCTCCTTCCTCCCAGGCAAGCGGGCACGAACTCATGCGGAAGTGGCTTTAGCTTCTTAGTGCTGTGCTTTAACCCGCTGTGCCACCAGCGAGGGCCCTAATGTAGAATTTTAAGGCAATGGCAAATCAATATTTTTTTTAATAAAAATATTTTTTTCTTTTAAAAGCTGCCATTTCCAAACAAGTTTGCTTTCCCAATTCCAGTCTTTAAAGAACAGAATGCTTACGGCTAGGCAGAGCCTTAGGGAGCTGCACTTAGGATTCAGTCCCTGAACCCACCCGAGCCTAGAGAAGGCTCCAGCTCCAAGAACCCTCAGTGGCAAGTGACAGCGCAGGCTCCATTTTCCTGCCCTGTTTCCTGCCCACTGTGCCACACAGCCATGTTAGGGCTCAAATAGTTCATTTTAAACAGTCAATAACGAAAGTTGCAAACATAAAATACTTCTATCTTCAAATATTCTTTATTTAATATTTAAAAGTTGGATAAGGTCAGTTTAATAATACGGATCCATTGCCCTTCAATCCATATGATTTTTAAATACATAAACTTAAGGTCCTCTTGTTTTAAATCACTCTGGAGGATGAATCTCTCCAAAGAAGATGCCCATTTCTTTCACCCTGCGGGACCCCCACCCCTGCAGACAGGCCGGAGCAGGCACCTGCTGTGAGCAGAGGCGGCGACACAATGGCCCCCACCCCAACTGCCGGGCTCAGACTTGCACCCCAGGTAGAAGCAAACGAAAGAAAAATCTCTTAACACCCCACTGAAGACTGATCAGGAGGGGCCAGGGTGCTACCTTCGGGTGGGCTGGGTGTCAAAACAGCCGCATGGAGTGAACAGGATGATGCCTTTCAGATGCTTTTCCACCACATACTAACCGTGAATTGCTCACTTCCCGCTTGTTTGGCGTTTGTGTGCAGAGAGCAGCTGTTTCTGCCACTGTCATCAGCAATCTGCAATTAGACACCAAAGAGCAGCCTGCCCGTTGTGGTTGGGAACCATTAGCCACTTAAATAATGACATCTATCATAATTTTCGTATCTCATCCTGTTCTGGATCTTATCTCCAAGCTGTACTCAAAGCAAGTGCCTAAGTTTCCTAAAATACGCTAAACTGATTTTAATTGCTCTGCTCTAGTTACCATCGCAGTGACCTGTTTTAGGGCCGAATAACAGTTCCTGAGTCCTGAGTATCCCTCATGGTGAGCATTGTACAAAGGTCTTTACAAACAGCGTAACTCAGGAGCCCACATGAGATCCTATGAGTTACACCTGCCTTTTCTGTTTCACAGGAATAGAAAGTGGGGCACAGAGGCCCATAGTTGACAGCTAGAATTAGAGAGAATTGGGAACTGTTGTTAGGCCTTTTGACCGTTCCGTTCTCTCCAAATCACGTACCATGTGCTATTTGGCTAGTAAATGCTCAGAACGTTAAAATGATGGGAGGAAATGTGAGCAAAAGAGTTTTCTATAAAGAGTCAAATTAAGATACTGGTTTTATAGTAATGGAGCATTTATTTAATGCAGTGATTTTCAACCAGGGGCAAACATGACTACCTGAGGGGGTAGAAAGGAGTGAGGGTCAGCTTGGGTATCTGGATTGTTACATTGACCTGTCACACTGGTGGTCTTCCCGAGACATGGTGGGGAGCAGAACAGGCAGAACTACTGAAACACACTGCTGAGGGGAGCAGAGGAGAGACAGGAGAGGTCTACTGTGCCCTGTGGGTCAGCTCCCTGGCCGGGACCCAACACATGCTCAGTGGCTAGTGATAGTTTGATAGTGCTGTGTCTTTAATCCCTGTGCCACCAAGGAAGACCCCACCCCCACACCAGCATCATTTGAAATTGCTTATATTCTACTTTATCAATGTTTCTCAGTGGGTCTTGACATTTGGAACCACGCTGCCAAATGCCCAGGGTGGACAAGAAAATTCTGGACAGCAAGGAATTGTCTGGTTCCAAATGTCAAGTCCCGCTGAGAAACACTGATAAAGTAGCATATGACAATTTCAAATGATGCTAGGGTGGGGGGCTCCCTGGTGGCACAGGGGTTAAAGACACAGCACTATCAAACTATCACCAGCCACTGAGCATGCATTCGATCCCCAGCAAGGGAGCTGACCCACATGGCACAGCACACCTCTCCTGTCTCCTCCTGCTCCCCTCAGCAGTGTGTTTCAATAGTTCTGCCTATTCTACTACCCACCCTGTCTTAGGTGAATCCTTTGACCCTCTACATCTGTGGCCTATACCCCAGTTCTTGTATGCATAAATAAATAAATCTTTTTTAGAAAGTGAAATGATGCTGTAAACCTCAAGGGTATAATCTCAAGCATGGTCCTTCTTATGGAATCCCAAATCTGTAAAGCACATTATTAAAAAAATTCATCTGGGAGCTGTGAGTCCCAGATGGGGCTGTTGAATAGAGGTGTTGTTTTTAACATGAAAACATGTCTATGATATATTCAAATGAAGAGATAAACTTGTGAATCAGGCTAATCCTAGATCCTAAGAAGTTAATGTATGTGTATATATACATATGTAGACATCATATATTTATGAAAATGTATAGAAAATTTTATGGGAATAAAATTTGGGGTGATTTTGCATTTTTAATTCTTCTGTTGCAAATCTTTAATTATTTGCATTTTTAATTCTATTGTACTACCAGTATCTGTTAGTTGTTTAATTTTCAGTAGGTGAAGGGACAGAACAACCTTAAAAAATGAAAACTTGGTGGGCCCTTCCTGGTGGCACAGCGGGTTAAAGCACAACACTAAGAAGTTAAAGCCACTTTAGCATGAGTTCAATCCCCGCCAGCGAAGTGACCCACATGGCGTGGCATGACTCCTGACTCAACCTCTGCTCCCCTCAGTAGTGTACTTCACTGATCTGCCTGTTCTGCTCTCCACTCTGTCTCTGGTGAATTCTCTCACTGCCCCTGCACCTCTGGCTTGCACCCCAGTTCTGTATGCATAAATAATTTCTTTTTAATGAAAACTTGGAGCATAGGATCAGAACACAGACCTGGTGGTGTATCAGTCACCCCTGGATGCAGGAGGGAGAAACTGTGATTGATGACGAGTGAAACTTTCCTTGTGAGTTCGCTGACACTAAATAGTGCCTTGAATAAAGGTACAACACTGTTGATTTCCAGACACACCAACCTAACTTCTAGCCTTTTCTAAAAATGTCCACGTCTTTTGTGGATGCAAAAAACTTTCCTGCAAAGTCCAATCTTCCTTTTCAGCTGCCCCAGAAATCAAACTGCTGCTTGAAAATCAGCTTCCATACTGAAATCTTAGGAGGAGTTATCCAAAATAAGAGAGGGCTTTTAATACTTATCTATATTCTTTCCTCAAATCATCAAATCCTTCAAGATGATTTTGTTTTCTGAAAAATCCCCTGCCAGCTTTATCTCAGTCATTTTTATGTTTTATTTCCAGCATCCTGGCTCTGCAATTCTAATTTTGTACATGAGTACTCTCAGTTGCATTTTCCTCGTGGAACTTGCTGATCATACATGGGCACCGACTTTTCTATCCATTTGACTGTAAACCTAGGGGAAGTGAGAGATGGGCCATTTCCTGGAGTCCTTTCTCACCTGCTTCTGAGGCAGAGGCCACTGTCCACCTTTCTGTGGCCCCTTCTCACCAGCAGTAAAATAAGCTGGGGGTCACAATTCTTGTAGAAGGAGCCCCAGCCGCCCTGGTGCTCACAGGGCCACCTTGTGGTGCTTCTGGGTACTGCTAGGTTGGGTGGGACCTGCAAGGGAGGGTTCAGATGCAAACCAGAAGGGGGGGGGGGGTGGTTCTCCTATTTGGGACAGTTCTGCTTCCTGGGCCTCACTTACTGAATTATACAAATTCAGAACCCACATCTGGATCCGACTCCATCTTTGTCGATCAAACACAGTAGATCTCTTTGGGAGTGATAGGTCAGGTGTACTTTGCTCATTTAATGTGGAAAGCAAAGGGTAGATGGAGGTAGGGTCTTTTGGGAGAAGTGTCTAGAACTGACTACATAGGAAAGAGGAGACTTAAGCAAGGACGATAACTAAATTGGCCTGTGTTGCCCCCAAATTTGACCTGACATAGAACAGCCATTCCTGATGACTGACTTGCTAATACGCGAAGGATGTGGGGAGTGGTGGTATTTCCACTCTAGAAGTCTCCAGCGGGTCAACACTGCAGACCTCGCGAGCTGGTGGAGGCAAACCCCATCGCTTTCTCTTTCTTTGGACTGTTAGCCCAATGATGAGAACTACAAATAACATTTCCAGGTCTTTCCACACTGTCCATATCACTTGGAAACCCTGACTGGAAAAATAAGACTTAATGACAGTAAAAGTTTACAATCTAATAGTGGACACTGATAGTTAAATGATTCCATCTCAGTGCTCAATAAACATCATTTCAGAGACTTTGGACTTATCCTGCCTTTTTTTTATGGTGACTCCATATTCTGCAACATGCAGATAGAATTCATAAGCTGATATTTCAAATAAACATTCATTCAGCTGTAACAGCATCCACAGAGACTGTAAAGCCCAGTGCTGCTGCCCTGCACGGCTCTGTGTGTGTGTGTGTGTGTGTGTGTGTGTGTGTGTGTGTGTGTGTGTGTGTGTGTTTAAGAGAGAGAGAGAGAGAGAATGGAGAGAGAGAGTGAGAGAGAGAGGGAAAGGAAGAGGGAGAGGGAGAGAGAGCAAGATTCAGGCCTGTTCAAGGAATCTCTCCTTGTGCATTTCTCCAGCCGTGCAGCAGACTTGGGCTTGGAGCATAATTCCATGCCCGTCGCTTGCCACTGGTGTCACCTCAGACATGTACCTCAGCTCTCGAACCCCACCCACATCACTCACACAAACAGAGGGCAGCAAGTGCTAAGTCACAGGGTTGGGAATCTGGCAGGTTGGCAGGAGTCCGGGCCATGGGGCTGTGGCTGGCACCGAGTGAGAATCCACGGCTGTCAGGTAGTGATTCTGCTCCTTCTATTTTAGAGAGTCCAAGACTAAGATCCAAACTGAGGAAAGCCAACACCCTCTAAGCAGCCAAGTTTGCCCCCAAAGTCCTGGGTTCTGACCAGCTGCGTTGCCTCCTGCAGGTTCCTGGAGCTCCTGATGACAGTGCATGGAGGACAGGCGCCCAGTAGTTCCTCCATTTCGCCTCCTACCACCCCCAAGCAGCAGCAAGACACTAGCCACCCGATCTCCACTGTCCCGGAATTGTTCTTCGTGCAGTAAGTAGCCACACAGGGCCAGAGCAGCCTCTGAGAGGCTGGCTGGTGTTGCTGCCGGGAGAGGGCGAGGCGGAGGGCCTGCCCTGGACTCCTGGCAACCCTGGCGGCTGCTCTGGCTGGGGGCAGGGGGGGCTTCCCGCCGTGTTAGTGTCCCTGCCCCCCCTGACGCTGGCTTTCTTTCCCTGCAGAAAAATGGAGCTCTGGCACGCCTTGGTGATCGCGGCTGTGTCCGTGTCCCTGCAGGCTGGCCTCCTGGTGGTCATCTACTACCTGCTCAGCCGGCGCCTAGGTAACGGACCTAGCACACCCCCACTGGGCACTCCTGGGAACTAGTCCCAAGCCTGCCGCAGAAAAGCCCCTTGCAGCCCCCAAATGTCACTTGAAAACCTACTCTCCCTCACCCTGCCTACCTCTACCTGGGTCGTCTCCACTCTGGCCCACGCTATTTCTGGCTGAGAATAGTAAGCCAGTGTACAGCCATACCATCACCCTGAACGTGCCCGGTTGCAGCTGATGATCTAAACGAAGCAGGGCCGGGCCTGGTTAGTACTTGAATGGAAGACTAGTGAGCCAGAGTCCTTCCAGAGCTGTGTTCAGAGAGAAGTCCCTGCAGTGCCTGTGAGGGGGCTCATTTCACCTAATTAATTTCCCTCATCCCCCTCCAAGAACTGCCTATGAAGAAGTGGTCTTGCACTGTGACAGAAGAGACTGTTTAAGAAGTCAGCTTAAACTCTTAATTTGATTTAAAGGAAAGTATAAAATCTTTATGCTACGAGGGCAAACAAAACAACATTTTTGCCTGTGCTAAGACAGAGGATTGGGTGGAAGGGAGTTTTGAAGCTTGTTCTCACAAGGAAGTCTAGATTTCCTTAGTCATTCATTCATTCGATTAACAAGCAACAGAAACCCCCTATCTGCACCCCCTTAGTGTAACTTACATTATGGAGGGGGCACCGTGAACCAGAAGAAGAAGTAAAATGCACATGTGTAAGATCACGGTAAACAGTGAAGCCAGGTCAGCACATGGGACCTGGGCCCCATCCCTGGGACGCTGACAGCTGTATACCTGCAGGAAGTGAGCCGCGCCCCACAGGTCTCTGGGCAGGAGAATGGCCCAGAAGCAGCAAGCGCAGAGGGACAGGCACTGAGGAGTCCACAGGAGCGAGAAGGCAGAGGAGGAGCAGTGAGGCCAAGGAGAGCTTCAGTGGGGCTTTGGCTTCTGCTTCAATGAGAGGAGGGGTGCTGGGTTTGAGCAGGGCTGTGTGGAGAGTTGGAGAGTTCCCTTGGAAGGCCCCTGATGAGAACTGTGTTCAGAGATCGGGTGTGCCTGCCCAGCAAGCCCTCGCCTTTCACCTCTCCCCATCCCCTCTAGCCAGGCACAGTGAGAATATACTGAAAGAGGTCAGACCGCAGGACGTCATGCCCAGCCCTGCCGACCAGCCCCCACCTGGTGCCCAGGTGACTCAGGCAGAAAGAAGCACCCCTGAGTCTGATCTGCACTATAGACGTGAGTGATTGGGTGGGGGATAACTTGCCATAAAGCTTATCTGCTCTGCCTTGACCCCCATGGGGCCTCTCTGCTGAAGCTGCTCTGTCCCCATCTCTAAACTGCTGGTCTGAGGATTCCTCACACCCACTTCAGTAAAAGCCTCATTCACATACCTATTTCAAAAAGGTGGTCACACCATCATGCAGGGCAGATCTGCTTGGGTTTATGTAAATGTGAGTTCTTTCCTGGGTTTGGTCATGCATGAATGACACAAGGGGCTTGGAGACTGTCCCTGCACCTGTCTTTATAATATTGTGGCCAAGGTTTTCACTGCCTCTAGCCATGTATCTGAGTGTTTTAATATCATTCCATTTTTTCTTCTTCTCCTTCTCCTTCTTCTTTTTAATAGAAGAACTGAGGTGCCAGAGGTGAGAGGATTCACCAGAGACAGACTGGTGACAGGACAGGTGAATCTACTGGAACACACTGATAAGGAAAGCAGTGGACAAGACAGGAGAGGTCTGCTGGGCCATATGTGGGTCAGGTCCCTGGCCGGGAATCGAACTCAGGCCATAGAGGTGATAGCAGTGAGACTTAAGCCCTAGGCCACTAGAGAGGCCCTCCATTCTCTTGCCTGTAGTGTTTCTTTAGCAAAGTCTGATATTAGCCTATGTTAGTGTGATAGTCCTGTATAGGTTATCTGTTTCCCCCCCCCACCACCACCACCATCAGCTTCATTATTTTTTTTGTCTTGGATTTTCAGAAGTTTTGCTACTATATGTCTTGCTGTAATTTTCCTTTTGTTTAGGTAATTTGGTGGTGTTTTAGCTTCCAACATTTGTATGTTCATTTCCTTTTTCACGTTTGGGAAGTTTTCTTTTACTGCTTCTTTAAATAATGTTTCAGATTCTGTCTTTCTCCTGGGATGTTTATGATTCCAATATTTCCTTTCCTATGGTGTTAGGTAATTCTTACAGTGTGGTTTCACTTTTTTCCCTTCTTATTTTTCTTTTTCTGTTTTGACTCTTTCCTCATTTGTATCTTTGAGCCCACTGATTCATTCTTCCATTGGCTTTTGGTTTATTCTATTGGCTTTCTCTAAAATTTTTCACTCCATCATTGATCTTCCTACATCCTATAGTCCAATTACTCTAAAGTTTCAATTTTTAACTTCTGTATCTTGATTGTACTTCTCATAGTATTCATTTACACTTATGATTTTTCTTGCATATTTCTGAACTGTTCCAATTCTTTAGTTTTTTAAATCATGGCAGTTTTGAATTCTGTGTCATAGATAAAGCAGCTCTTCCACTTCTCTGTGATTTGGTTGTGGAGTTTTGTTTTCTCTCTGTGGTAAACTCTTCCTTGAGGACCTGCTTGGTCATTTGTATTTTTCTTTCTTCCCATTACTTGCTTTGGGTTTGTTCTGCTATAGCTGGAACTTTTGTTGGGTGGAGGTTTTCCACTCCCATTCTTCTTGTGGGTTCAGAGGTGGTCTAGGTGAGAATGAGGGCCATGGGGTCCGTTGGGGTCACTGAGTCAGTGGGTGGGTCCTCTGTGGTCTGCCCAGGCTTCAATTTGGGTGAACAGCCATGAGTATTTTAATTAATATGAACTTGGTGATGGCACCAATCCACACTTGTCCGTGGGGAGTGATAGTTAACTCCATCTCCTTCAGTGCTTGAGAGACCCACAGATCATTCTCTACATAGCGAACATTGCTGCTTCCCCAGCAAGACAATATCCTTTCAAGACTCATTGATCTTTCTACATCCTACAGAGATGGCACTTTTCCTATTAACTTCCTCAATTGATTTGCATTTGCTCTCCCTTTGAACTTTACCTTTTCAGCTGGAAAACCTTGGAAAGCTGCTGGGCTTCCCCAGCACTAGGATGAGGCCTCGGTGTTGTAGAAACCAGACACTGCCACACACAAAAATTTGGTGTGTCAGCAGATAGAACCTCCTCACCCCTAACCCCAGAGCCAAACCAGAGCATGACCAGAACTGGTGACAGGAACCTCAGAGATTATCATCTAACTCTCTGCTTTTAAAAGGGATAAAACCAGAGCATGAAAAGGGATGTGACAGGCCTAGAACTATAGTGGCTGGTTTTGATTAGAACCTATGTCCAGAACTCCCTGTCTCTACACAACCCTTCTTTCTCCTCCCAAGTACAGTCAAGCCTGGTGAGTTTGTTATCCGTTTCTGACAGAGCTGGATGAAACAGCAGTGCCTGCACTCTTAGATATGTGCCCTGTTATTTTGGGAGGTCTCTTTCGCACCACCCCTTTTCTAATTTATTCTTGCTATCTTTTTTGGAAACTTTGTATATGTCTCCCATATTCCTCTTTGCTTCACTGACTTTGTCTCTTTCTTTCTTCCATTTTCTCTATTCCCTCCTAATACCGTCTGGCTTTCTTGAGAACGATTTCTGTTTCTCCCTAGATGACAGCGACACATCCTCAGGCAGCTCCAGCAGCTCTGGCAGCTCACCTCCCACCTGTCAGGTAATGGACACACCTAGTGACCCCAGCACTCCATAGGCAGGCAGTCTGGGGTCCCTGCTGTAAAACCCAGGTGTAGAGATGGGAGCAGTTGGGTGGAGTTTCTAGGTCATTACAGCATCCTTAGTTGGGGGTGGTCAGGTTTCCACTCACAGCCCTACATCAGCATTGGTCATTCCACAAAATGAGTAAGTGGGTAGGCTGGAAAATGAAAACACTAATGGGAAGTCCTCAGCTTCCTTTATCCCCAGTAGGGACCCCCCACTGGGTCAAGTCTGCTCAGAGTCCTTGAGCTCACATGGAATCAGCGTCCACATCCTTTCTTACTAAGCCCATTCATTCCCTATAGACAAAAACAAGGCATGGCAGGCTTCTGCCAGCCGTCCTGACCCTCAGACACAGCTACCTGGACCCCAGGTTCTTCCCCATCAGACTTGGGTGAGCCCCGTGAGTGAGAATTCAGTCTGGGATCCTACCTTCCCCAAACATGGTAGGGTCTTGACACACATTTCTCTGCTTTTTTTCTGTAAGGGCATCAAAGATATGAATTACACACATGTCGTCTTTCCAGACCCTGAGAGACTGAAAACTGAATCTACATTGGACTATGAAAACATAAAGGAAGACAAAGATTATGTCAATATGAACCCCCAAATTTGCAAGCCCACCGTCTGGACTTTTGTGAATCCTGCTGTGTCTGAGCCAGTGGAATACACTCAGGTGGCCATGTGAATTTTAATGTGCTATTTGCTCTGGATTTTTCTGTAGGATGACATCTTTTCTTTGGTAAAATAAAGTAGATGGGGAAAGGCTGACTTAACTGAATCTCTCAGTAAGAAAGTTTCAGCTCCAACGTTAGGAAAAAATTCCAGATTAAGTTCGAAAATAACGCATAGTATCAGCAGAGGAAGTGGTATAATCTCTTTCCATCGAAAAATTTTCAAGATTTGAAGCAGCTGTAGTAGAGTCTGTTGTCAAGTTTACAATTAAAGGACTCTTTAGTGCTTTAACTACTAGCAATACATTTTAAAACTTCCTTAAAATTTTTCTATAAAAGGCACCCAGCAATTCCTCTCTTCCTCTCGGCAGTCTATATGCTATCTCTTCTTCAAGACTAGGTATTCCTGAGAAATCCTGTTCTGCTCCCAGAAGCTTAAGTAATCCAATTAGAAATCCCACACCATCAATTAACCTTTGAATTTGCTGTTTCTTATGAGGGCAAGATGACAAATAAGAGTCCTGGTAAATGCCAACCTACACCACAGTCTCTTATCCCAAGGAAAATTTTTCAAATTCAATCCAATAAAAGTCAAGTCATTTCTGGTTTGTCAGATCTTCTTAAATCTACCTGAGAATTAAGGAACACATTCTTAACTTAATAAAGAACAACTTAGCAGCATGTATAAAATTTAACTGTACAGTGCTAGGTAGTCTGATTATATCAACAATAGAGTCTGGGCCCTCCCTGTGGTGTAATGGGTTAAAGCGCAGTACTGTGAGGCTCTCCACAGCCACTGCAGCATGAATTCAATCCCCGGCCAGGGAGCTGACCCACATGGTGCAGCAGACCTCTCCTGACCAGCCCACTGCTCCCCCAGCAGTGTATTTCAGTAGATCTGCCTGTTCTGCTCCCCACTAGTCTCTGGCGAGTCCTTTCATCCCCTGCACCTCTGGCCTGTACCCCAGTTCTTGTGTACATAAATAAATCTTTATAAAAAAAAAAAGCATCAGAACATCCACAAGCCTGCCATCTCATTTATTCTCTAACATAGCTCTGCAAGTTCTAATCAGTGTAATAAAACGGTTAGGAAAAATAAAAGCTTTAACTCTTTTGTTGGGAAGAAGGGTAAAATTTGTCATTGTTTACAGATATCCGAGTCCTAGAAAATCAGTGGTTTAAAATGGATAACATGGCCTCCCTGGTGGCACAAGGGGTTAAATCTCAGCTCAAGAAGCTTAGGAAGTCCCTGGAGCACAAATTTCATCCCCAGCCAGGGAGCTGACCCATAGGGCACAGTAGACCTCTCCTGGCCTGCCCGCTGCTCCCCTCAGCAGTGTATTTCAGTCGATCCACCTGTTCTGCTCCCCACTCTGTCTCTGGTGAACCCTCTCACCCACTATACCTCTAGCCTGCAACCCAACTCTAGTATGCATGAATAAATAAAACAAATCTTTTTAAAAAATAAAATCAAACAAACAACATGTAGTTAACAGTAATTAGGCATACCACTTATTTTGACCAAATCCAGTTAAGCTATGCAATGAAAAGAAATTTTTGCTCATAATAGCTAAACAAATACCTCAAAATCTGGAAATCGGGGGAAAATACTAGCCAAATGCAAAGGCCAGAGCAGGGCTGCTCTCAACAGAGCTCTACCTGCCAGCTTCGAAGGACCTGTCTTGTGCTGTCCTGAGAGCAGCAAGTGGCGTTCATCTTCCCAGTTTCCTCTGCCTCAAGGTTGTTGGAAGGGACAGCTCGGCTTGGATTTCAGGAGCCTGTCCAGCTGCCTTGGAACTCCCATGCGCCTCCTCTCCTGCCACTCTCCTGCCCCTCCCTGGGTTAATGTGTCGAAATCTTCATCCCAAAGATGCTGTTAGGAGACAAGGGCTTTGGGACATGATTAGGAAGGAGCCCTCAGTCTTTTAATAAGACTGACCCAGAGGGCTCCCTGAACCCCTTCCCTCGTGAGGATACCAGACATCTATCACCCAGGAGACCCTCATAGACTACGCTGGCACCCTGAACTTGGGTTGCAGCGTTAGGAGGTTCGAGAGAAAAATTTCTCGGTGTCTACAAGCCACTCGGTCTATGGCATTTTATTATGGCAGTCCCAACAGACTAAGATGTCGCCCTCGAAAGCTTTTTGGTTTTTTTTAAAGATTTATTTATGCATACAGAACTGGGGTACAAGCCAGAGGTGCAGGAGCAGTGAGAGGATTCACCAGGGGCAGAGTGGGGAGCAGAACAGGCAGACTGACAAAGTACACTGCTGAGGGGAGCAGCGGGCAGGTCAGAAATGTCTGCGGCACCATGTGGTCACCTCCAGGGCAGGTGGGAATCGAACTCATGCTGAAGTGGCTTTAGCTTCTTAGTGCTGTGCTTTCACCCACTACACCACCAGGGAGGGTGTGGAAGCTTTTTGTTTTTAATGGGGAAAAACAAATGCTATTGACTACAGAAGCAGAATGGGAATAGACACCACCAACACCAATACTAAAAATATTCTGCGTCCAGATGGCCAACAAGCATATGAAAAATGTTCAACATCACTCGTAATAAGGGAGATGCAAATTAAAATCACAATGAGATACCACCTCACCCCAGTGAGAATGGCACATCTTCAAACAACTAGCAACAACACATGTTGGCGAGGATGTGGAGAAAAAGGAACTCTCGTGTACTGCTGGTGGGAATGCAAACTAGTACAACCATGATGGAAATCTGTTTGGCGGTTCCTCAAACTGCTAAACATGGAGCTTCCCTATGACCCAGCAATCCCACTCCTAGGTATCTACCCAAAAGATACAAAACACTGATTCAAAGAGATACCCGCACCCCCATGTTTATTGCTGCTTTATTTACAATTGGAAAGACATGGAAGCAACCCAAATGCCCAAAAGTGGATGACTGGAGCTGGCTCTAGGGCTGGAGAGACTCGAGGGTGTGGATGTGAGTGGACGGGGCCCAGTCCTGTCTGACCTGGTCTGGGGCAGGCACAGCTGGAGAACAAGTACCTGAGAAAACGTGACAACGAGGGATTAACAGAGAAGTGAAAGCAGGACCCACGGGGCTCAGGCAGATCAGGTGTGAGAAGGTTAGGACAGGGCAATATCATAAAAAACAAAACTGTCCCAGAAAAGGTGATTTACGAGTTTCACCTGGGAAGAAGAGCAGGAAATCTACAGGTGGAAGAAGAGGCAGGAGAAAAGGGAGCAGGATCTCCGTCCATATTCCAGGGTCTAGGGCCTTCCCCGGTGGCACAATGGGTTAAAGTGTAGCACTATGAAGCTCTCCACAGCCACTGCAGCACAAGTTCGATCCCCAGCTAGGGAGTGACCCACAGGGTATAGCAGACCTCTCCTGTCTCGCCCGCTGCTCCCCTCAGCAGTATACTTCATCTATCTGCCTGTTCTGTTCCCCACTCTGTCTCTGGTGAATCCTCTCACTGCCCCTGCACCTCTGGCCTGTACCCCAGTTCTGTATGCATAAATAAATCTTTAAAAAATAGGATAGAAGCTTGTGAAGCTTCAGTGAACTGAAAGGGTCGACCACCTAAATCTGTTGCCTGTATGAGTAATGGCTGTTTGCGGGCTCAGTTTCCAGGGCAATGAATTAACTTGCTCCCACAATGTACGTCATGGAAACTCCAGGGCTGCTCCAGGGAACACCTGTGCTGCCCTCCATGAATGAGGATGGCAGGAAGATCTCTCCAGAACCATCTTATACAGAGAAACCAATCTGTGCTGGCGGCTGACCATGGGCTAGTGATGTAGTGATGATGAGGACCACCGAGTAGCCCAGGATAACACAGCTGCCTTCACTGAGTTGTGATTCTAAAGGCACAAGCATGCAAAAGCTCACCAGAGACCTCCAGCAGAGAGATGCTACCCACTGAGCAGCGAGACCCCCCCACACTGAAGAAACACTGGGAGCCAGTATCAGTAGACTTTGTACTGCAGCGATCCAACAGATGTGTGGGTCCAGAGGGGATCTCAAGAAGTCTCCTATTCACACCCTTGGCCTCTAAACTTTATAATGACTTTACCTTACCTGGCTTTATTTATTTATTTATTTATTTATTTATTTATTTATTTATTTATTTATTTATTTATTTTGAGGTTCCATTAGCTCCCTGAAACACCCACCTTTTCATAAATTTCTACACTCACTTTCACCCTACAGTAAAAACCTCTTGCTTTTTGTCCCTTCCTGACAAATACCTTATGTGCTTAGAAGCAAGCATGTGTATAGAAGTCTCAGAAGAGCAGGGTCGTGTGGAGAAGCCTCTAGAACATTGGGAGAAAGCTCCTTTGGTACTTGAGCTGGGCGCCTGGGTGACCTCACCTGCCTGCCCCCAGCTCAGACTCACTTTCAGCTCCACACTGCCCCCTTGTGTCTCCAGGGCAAATCCCAGGTTACTGGTTTCCTTTTCCTCCCTAGCTGGGCAAAGTGGATGGTCATTTAGACCTGTCCATGCCCTGACATCCATGTTCACTCCTGTCCTACCCAAGGAGATCATAATTTATTTTAGCTTCTGTATCTTATTGTAATCTCCCCCTAGGAAATAAAGCAATTTCCTAGTTATTAAGGAGTTGTATGGGTCAATGTCAACCACACTTTTGGATTCCTGAACCAAGACTGAGCTGCTGGGGCCTGAGCCTAAATAGATAAAGACCTATCTACATCCAAACACACAGTCATCTTGGAAAGTCATCAGTTTACCAAACAACATAAAAAGTCATTCTGAAAAATCTCCAGTCAACCAAGCAGCCTCCTGGCACCCTCCACCTCCACCCTTAGAACTCAGGCATGAATTCTAAGGAAATCAAGTCGTGCGTTTCAGATGCTGTAAACATTTTCTAGAAATGCCCGGCATTGTTCAGTTTCTCCTGAAGTTTAGGTCACAAATAAGATTGACCCCAGAGGTCACAGGACCTCCTTGCTTCCCACAGGCATTCACCGCCCTGAACCCCACTCAAGGCTCTGTGGTTGTTCCAGAATGTCAGGGAGAGCTTCCCAGAGGTGCTCTTGAAGCTACTGTTTATAGATCCAGACAAGATCAGACTCTTGCAGGAATCTCCGGGGATATTCTCCCAGGGGCCCCTAGCCCATGCCCACGGCTCCCACTGGCCTCATCTGAAGATAACGCCAGCTCTCTGAAAAGATCAAGACAGCCTTTCCACAAGAGGAACAGTGAGGATTCCTATCCCCCCCTTGCAAGACACAAAGCTGAAAGTATCCCTGATGTGAGAGGGGTATTGGGAGGTATATCCTAGGCCCAGGCCCCGGGGGCCACCCACCAGCCCCACCCAAGGCTAGGCCACCATTGACTTCAGGAACATCAAAAGCCAAAAGCATATAGTTCTATAGTGTATAGTCCTACAAATCCCTCCCAGTGAGGTGGGCACTGTTGTTTAGTGGAGACTATTGCTCAGAGAGAGCAGACACCTTTCCCAAGTTCACACAGGCAGAAAAGGGATGAGATCAGGAGCTGGGTCCAAC